GAGCACCATGACAGCGCAGAATGTAGTCCAAAACATCCCCAAGCTAGCAAGCTAAAGTTGAAACTTAAACCCAAAGCTTCAGATTCAGAAGGAGATGGTGGGTGGCAAGCTCCAAGCCCTAGAGGGGATGACCAAATTCCCACGGCTGCAAACCCTGATGTCCCAGTGGTGTCGCATATGTCTATGCACCTATGTGATGATCTAGCTATCCGTATATTCCGTATATTCAAGAAAAAGTACGACAATAGGCATACAACCGTGGTGTGTATGAACCCAAGCTGCATGAGTTTTTGCATGCATGTATGGAATTGTCTGCAAATGCCGTTGCTGTCTCAAAATATCTTGTATGTTGACTCACTGTGTATCAGGGGCGACCGTTGGGAAAGCCACGAACAAACATGTCGATATGCGGACCGCCAGACGGATGTATAAGCATGTGCGAAGTCAATAGGGCCTTCTGGTTTATAAAATTTTTAGGGTCCAGTCATTCCTGATAGGGTTTGGGGTTTGCCACTCATCATCTCCTGTGGAAGACATTTATGACTCAATAGTTTTTGCTGGGTTGGGGATTGTTTGGGCACCATGCAGCCCTATCAAAAGCTCTCCGTGGCACTGGTTTCTTTCAGCAGTTTGGAGGTCGCACCCATAACAGGCTTTGGATAATATCTGGCACCAGACCTTGGAGTTTCTGCAACCACCGTACCTCTAGGACTGCACGATGTTCTTTGACCACTCACTGCTTCCCGATTTTGCTGCCTCTTTGCGATGTTATGGATTGGCCATGGAATATGTCCTAGGAGGATTAGAAGGAAGGTCCATGACGAGTCTTTGCAGCATCGCGAGAGTTTGTCAGACTGCACACATTAACGTGGACACAGATGCAAAGCGGTTTTACGCGTATATACACGATACATATGTCTACAACTGTTATTTATAAATAGGTTATATGTATGCATATAAGGAGCATCTCGTCAGCAATATGCTTGGGTTTCTCGGTACTGATCTTGAAGATGCTGGCTACATGCAAATGTTTGCGTGCATCTTCCTTCACTTTGTGTTGTGTGTTTCTCATGGCGGTTTGTTCCCGGACCAGAACACGGTACACCAGGATCAAAAGGCTCTAGGCGACCCCCCCAGCCCCGGGAAGACTCGAGGCAACACCTTGGCCCGGCGAGGGGCCAAAAAATAGAGTGTATGTATACATATTTTTTTTTTTCTGTTTTTGTAGTTTTTTCTGTTTTCTTCGTTTGTTGCTGCCCCCCTGTGCGCACGCCCAGACCTTCTGGCTTTCTAGCGCCCAGACCCTCAGTCCATCCTTTACTCTCACAGACGTTGCGCAAAAGGAACACATCCTCACAGCACGCAGGAGCATGCAAAAACGTAATTACAAGTACTCCCCTTGCGGGCGCTACGTTTGTGTATCCAGTGTGTTTCCTTAGTCCTGTAATATGCATGAACAAGAAACTTTAATTGAAACATATCAAAACCTTGCCACCGGAAATGCACGCCACCAGGGCGTAATGTTATGCTTTATTTTCCCCCAAAAACATCAATAATGATTCAATAGTACCCCTGGTCTCTGGCCCTGGTCTGCCTCTATGCTAAAAGCGTGACTGAACCAAGGCCCTGCTCCGCGAGCTTTCGTGGCTTTCTGACTGCTCGCTTGAGAAAGTTGCCCTGCGTTTCTGACCCTGGGCCTTTTGCTTGCTTGAGCGGCCATCTGTGTGCAAGGGTGGAATCTTAATCGTCTAAATGTGACAAAACCTCGTGGAAACCGCTAAGTTATCGGGAAATACACGCCGCCGGGTCGTTACAACTTCAAATTTTAAAAGGTTCACAGGATGTTTGGTTGGTGGAGGGAGGAGGGAGGATTCTCTGGTTTGTGGAGAAGTCTGGAGGGGGAGTAGGCTAATTGATATATCAACATCCGAGTTTTCTAGTAGTTTGCAAGTCATCCGCGGCTGCCTCCTTCACAACTGCTTGCCGATGTTTGGAAGCGTGGCTTGTGAGCACGTTGACAGGTTACTTAAGACAACAGTTTTCCTCCTTCTACTACTACAGCAACAACTACTAAAAACTAGTACCAGTACTCCGAGTAGTGCTACTGCTGCTACTGCTACTGCTTCTTTTGCTACTGCTGCTACTGCTGCTACGACGACGACGACTACTCCTGCGGCCACTACTGCTGCTACTACGAGAAAGATCACGACTACTAGTGCTGCTGCTGCTGCTGCTGTTGCTGCTGCTGCTGCTCCTCTCCTGCTCCTGCTGCTGCTGCTGCTGCTGCTGCTGCTGCTGCTGCTGCTGCTGCTGCTGCTACTGCTACCGCTACCGCTGCGCCTACTGCTGCTGCTTCTGCTGCTGTTGCTGCTATTGCTACTGCTACTGTCGCTGCTACTGCTACTGCTACTACGACGACGATTACGACGACGACTACTTCTACGACGACTTCCGCAGCTAGAAGCCCGCTGACGCGCCGGGCCATTATCCACCAGAAAAAAATACCGGCGACCTTTCGTTTTTCCATGCCTCCGTCCCTCAAGTGTTGGCAGCCTGTGCATGGCAGCTAGCAGTTACATCCACGAGAACATAGCCTGTTCTCTGCATCTTCAGTCTGGTAGACCAGGGCCGGGCTAAGGCCACCTGGCAAATGGGCAAAATGCGGGGCAAAATGCGGGCATGCGACAATCTGACTTGTTGCAAGAACAAGCGCCAGCGACCATTAGCGCAATTTCGCGGCAAGTGCCAAATGCGTAGGACCTTAGAACCCTGCAGGCAATGGATGCGTCTCTCCTGGCATTGACCTCAAACATCTCGAATGTGAGCAATGATGCCTACACCGCGGCGATCAGACGTAGAGATGATCTTCGCAATGCAGAGGCTGCTGTCGATGGCGCGAGCCGCACGGTTAGTACGCTGCAGGAACAGATCAACAGTGCCAAGGCAGCGGTTTGGGATTCCAACGCGCCTGCCCAGACAAGTCCCTCGGTGTCAAGCACGACTGTGGCAAGCCGTTCCAATCAAACCACCACCACCACCACCACTTCCAGCATCAGCCCAGCAGTCGCTGCCACTCCGAGTTTTCTGGAAGGTAGTGTGCACGTGCAGGCTTGCAACGACGGTGTGGCCTCACCATTGGAGGTAGACTTGGCTCAGGTGGAACATGTGGATGCTACTGCTGCAGGGGCAGCCGAAGCCCTGTTATTTTGGCGACTCTCAGCGACACCATCGCGCCCTGCTGATGCTGCTGCGGCAGAGACTGCAGCAGAGGCACCGCGATTGCGGATGGCGAACCTGGGTGATCGACTGCGGATCTCGGGGGACAAGCCCATCATGGTGCTGCTCGTTCATGGCAAGGAGCTGCCGATCAGCTTTGCTGACATCAGTGTCCCTGGTGAGCACAGCCTTTCTGGCCGTCGAGCAGATGCAGAAATTCAGTTGGTGCACCTTCCGGCGGATCCGACACAAGCCCTGGCTGTGGCTTTGTTGATGGATGAGAGCGGTGGTGCCAGCAATGTCTGGCTACAGCATATGGCCGCCCTTCCACGGGCCGGCGAGGTTGCACAGGTACAGGGCTCGGATCCGATGTCGATGCACCCGGCTTTTTCACGAGGCGTAGCTGGCCATTACTATCGCTATCGTGGCCGCCTGCAGAAGTCCAAGTGTGCACACGTCAGGCAGGCAGCATGATTGAAGCTGTTGCGGGGTTGTGCTGTGGGAGGTGAAGTCTTTTGAGAGACTCTCATGGGCATGAGTTGTGCTTTGTGCAGGTGGAACATCTTGGAGGAGCGTGGTCACATCAGCAGCCAGCAACTGCTGGAGCTCCGGCAGGTCTTGCAGCCCCCAGCGTCTGTCGACAGCTTCTCCGATCCTTCGGCACTGCTTCCGATACTTGGCTTGTTGCAGGATAGCATTTGGCATGTTTTTGAATCGCTGTGTCCCTGACGGTATGTTCAGGATGGTGCTGCCTCGTCACAAAGTTTCCTTAGCATCTGTGAGACTTGGCTTTACAAGTACCGCCGCCCATTCCACTAAAGTGGGTCACTGCTTCTGAGAGAAGTTGAACATAATACATCTGCAAGGCGTCAGAGCACTCAAACTGTTCCGGCTTCTGCTGTTGCTGCTGGCAACCAGGACTCCTGGACATGCAAGGGTAAGTGTGACAGTTTACGTTTTTTCGTTCCTGCTGCAAGACTGGTTCGAACCTTGAGGTTTCCAGCGATTCGGAGCCGGCTCCAAACTTGAAGTCCTTGCTGCTTTCCCTCCCGCGACGAAAGCGTGGGACAGCACTTTCAGCTTGATGTAGCGCTACTGTTCAAGCACAAGCGAAGCAGACTGGAGATGACTGGAGCGGGCATGCTTGGAAAAGGAAAGGATTTCGCCGAAGCGCTGACCCACTTGTATGTTTGCGAGTGCCCGGCGGTCGTCACAGGCATCAACCGGTTGCGCTTCGACCTTCAAACAGGCCAATCCAAAGTACTGCTTCAGGGCTTTAGCTGCAAGACCTCTAAGTGTGTTTTTGAGGTCTGGGATCTACAGCAGAGAAGACTATACGTCCGATGGAAGGCCGGGAGCAGGAAGGACTCCTCAGTCCTCCGGAGGTCCAGAGACAGAAGAGTAGTCCCAGTGCTTTCAGGCCCACAGACCGACCACCGGCGTGGTCGGAGCCCGATGTTGTGGCACATTCCATTTCTGAAGATGAAACTCCATGCAACAGAAACAGAGGACACGTGTGGTGATGTATCCACGTCGGAGGCCACTCTCCGGTAGCCGGTCTGCTGAGCAACCCGCTGGGCACAGCAGTTCTTGGCTGTTGTGCTGCCGGTGCTGCAGCTTTTGGCCATCATGAAAGCATGTTGATTCGTGCAGCGATAGTTCAGAGTTGGATGTGATACAAAAAAGCACATCCTCCTGTTTCTTGTATCAGATGGTGCAGACCTTGAAGACGATCAAAGCATCTTGTTTCGACATGCATCATCAACAAATCTAAATAAGCCGCCATGTCGAGCACAACGAGTGCGACGGTTGACAGCGCGGACATCGTCAGGCTGGAGAGCGTGACTTTCGGGATGCTCTGAGAGGACTGGGCTCACATTGTCAGGCTAATTCTTCAGCATCTTGGCCGCAAGTAAAGGCGCGGGATTTCTGCTAGCTCTTGCCTGCTGAGAGGTTCTGCAAAGAGAACAGTCTCTTCAGGCCCGGTACTGGCATGCCTATCGATCCGCAGAGATGCCAGCGAGCCCTTTGCTAATAGGACGCTGCAATGTCTCCAAGAAGAGTCGCGGGTGTCTCTGAATGCGGTGGACTCCCTGGATGCACTCCTCAGCGACGTGAACAAAGGTCGCCTTCGTTAAGTCGAGCTTTAGTGCCAGTGAGCATGCGAAGCTTGCACTGCAGCAGGTCATTGGGACACTGTCCTGTGCCGTCCCTGCATTTTATGCATCACTGGAGTAGGATGTTGCTGCCCCGCTTTTCGAGGCAGGCAGTGTCGTACTTAAGTCTGCCGCCGAACATCCTCCAGGATTTGTACAGCCAGGCCGGGACGGCCTCTGCGTCTGCGTCGCCTTCCACATGCCGTGTGCTTTGAAGGTGGTGCTGGAACTCGCTGAGCTGCGCGAGGTCGAGACAGCCCATCATCTCTTACGGGAGACGGCCCCAATGAACGCACTCAAGCAGGCGAACCCCGAAAGGCGCTCGCAACACTCTTGGGTTGGAGATGTGTGGCTGCAGGCACTGTGAGTGTGTCAGCAGGTATTTGCGGGTTGAGGTGCCGAAGCTGCACTGAAGCTTGGCGTGCTTTTGCAGTATTTGGTCAGCACGCTGCGCTGCCTGAGGCTCTAGTCAAGAAGCACCATTTCGATGCATCGGAAGCTTACGAGGGCATGAGCAAGGAGAAGATCCGCGGAAACCTTGCCCAGAGCATAAGCAACGTGTCTGCAACAGAGGAAGTGGTCAACATTTGTCAATTACGTTCCAGCCCCATCTTGCTGGAGAGCAGATACCGGCACAAAGCTGCACAGGGATTACCTAGCCGAGGCAAGCACGTCCAGGACGGCTCTTTTTTCTACGAGCTTCTTGTATCTGAACTTGCTCATGGAAACCCACATACGCCTTTCAGACACAGGTGGCTCCTCCATCACGGCTGCTGGCGCTCGTCGGTCAGGCTATGAAATGGCAGCAGCATGTGGGCCTTCTCCCAAAGAATGCTGCTTGCTGGCATAAAGTGCGGCCTTACTGGTGTTTTGCCTGCACATCACCTGTCACTAGTTGCCACCTCTGTAAATTCTCGGATTTCATGGTACAGGGATTCGGATGGGCCCGCGCTCCCCAGTGGCAAAACCACATTTGACCCTCGATGTGTTCTGCACGTGGATGCAGATGGTGGTTTCTGAGTTGCTTTGCTTTTGCGGTGGGCACAATCTCCTGCGCCGCATGTTCTCCAATGCAGTTCCCACACCTTGCGGCTCGACGTGCGGTGCCTTGAATCCTGGATGTTTCAGCTCGCGGTTCGGCACATCTGTTTCTGTTTCTGTTGCGGATGGTTCGTGCCATCTCGGTGAGACAGCACATCTGAAATTCACTCACTCGGGTGAAATGTGGGGGGCTATCCCAAAAGGACATGGCTCCCGTACGTGGTCCCTCGACACACTGCGTTGGCTCAAGTAGTCATCTATCCTACATGCAGCACTTGCAGCTGGCTTTGAACTTAGGCCTGCAAGCAGTATGTATGTAGTATGTAGGGGTTGAACCTTTTTCCGCAGACTCTGTGCGAGTCCACCCGGTCAGTTTTTGCAAACGGCTTGATGGTCTAAAGGCGGGGGGAATTGTCGCCGTGTCAGCTGGATGCGTGGGGGCTCGCGGAGGTAGATTGTAAGGTTGCTACGGTTGCTACATGAGTGGACCTGCCACTGAAAGCTGAAAGCTAAGGCGAGGATTGACGTGTTCAGAGGCGTGGCCAAAGATGCCGAGGTCGAGGCCGAAATGTGCCCGACCATGGTCGCAAGGACTGTGCCTTGGTTGAACATGGGCGCATGCGGTGCTCATGAGTTCTTCATGTGGATGCTGTGAGGTGAAATTCGGCTCGAAATCCCATCCAGAATGTGTGACATTCTCACCGGATGGCCAGTTCTGCGTGTCGGGTTCTGTCGATGGCATGGTGGAGGTTTGGGATCATCAGACTGGCACTCTGAGGAAGGATCTCCAGTATCAGGATGAGGGCAGCTTCATGATGCATGATAAGGCTGTGATCGCTGTGGCCTTCAACAAGGAGTCTGAGCTTCTCGCAACCGGCTCCCAGGATGGCCAAATCAAGGTCTGGCGCATCGCCACAGGCCAGTGCGCCCGGCGCTACGAGAAAGCTCACAGCCAAGGGATCACCTGCATCACCTGGGCCAAAGACTCTTCGCAGCTGCTCACGGGTTCCTTCGACTTTACGGCCCGAGTGCATGGAATAAAGTCTGGGAAAACGCTCAAGGAGTTCAGAGGACACAAGTCCTATGTAAACTCGGCAGTGTACACCAAAGACAACGCTCGTGTTGTGACGGCCTCGTCCGATGCCCGGCTGCCTGGAACATGTCGCACGTCCATTCTTTATTGTTGACAACGCTCGCCGACTGCCATCTTCCGAGGATAGCCATGTCATTGTCTACGATGCCAAGACCACGGAAATCATCAACACGATCACGCCCCCTCCGCCTTCTCACTGCAGCTCCATCATGGACTACTCTGTGAACGCTGTGTCTCGGCGAAGGGGAGGTTTCGTTGAAGGAGCTATTGTGGAGAAGGGGGTGTGGGGAAAGCAAGCCAAAACCTCGAGGCTATAATGGCACCGAAGATACCAGGATACAGCGAGCACGAGGACTTAATCTTCGAGCCTTAGAGAGCATAAGATGTGCTTGCAGGTGAGATTCCTGTCTCCTTGCTAAGCATCGGAAGCTGGTGCGAAAAAGCCTGGCCTGAGGTGTGCACGCGAACCAACACAATTCTGTTACTCTGCAGCACATGGCCTCTTGCGTTGAGATGCTTCCATGCCTGCCGTGCGCCGTTGATAGCAGCCCTGAGCCAAAGTACGGCGTAGCGAGTGGCCCTGTCATCCTGGACATCTTTGACATTTGATCGTTTGTGCTCCCAGGACGTTCTCATGCTTTCTATAACGTTTACTCTGGAAGTTGCCTACGGTGCTTTCAGAGGAGATTCCTCCCAGCTTTCATGATCGTTCATGCATCTCAGTTCTGTATGTTAGCTTTCCATCAATCCACTGGGGCCTGTCTGAAGCAAACCACTCGGCTAGTCCCCTGCAGCAGACTAAGTTTGCAGTTTTGAGTTTCGGTTGGGATCCCAAAGCAGGCCGGGCCTCTGAAGCTTTGCCCACAATGGTGGTTCCCGTTCGTTGGAGCTGCCGCGCCAGTTGACCCTGCACACTTGTAGTTGTTGTTACTGTTACAGAGGCCCTGTGCTTGAAAGAAGAGCTTCGCTTAAGAAATCGAGTTGTCAGCCTTGACCGTCTCTGATGGCTTGCTTCCTCTGTATGGCAACCGAGGCTGATGAACCTCGCCGGGCAGGCCGGTCACGGCTTGTTTACACGATTGTTGCAGACTGTCCAAGCTAAGTGGCGTCTTGGGTCCTCAGCCTTGTCTCAATATGGCGAAAGGTACTGAAAAGTTTCTGCTCTGGAAAGCGCGACAAAGGCGATTTTGTCGCAATGACGCCCCGGTTGCATTGGGTCAGTGACAACACACCGGGCAAACGGCACGGGAACTTGCAGAGTGGTTCCCCCATAAGGACGACATCTCCGAAAGGCGAATGGCTGTATGGGGTGGCGGAGGACAACACAATGTACCTTGGCTCCGGAAATGCATGCATGCTTCGGATACCACCACTTGCCGTAACTTAGACTATAGGAGGCTTCAGTTGTAGAGCATCTGGCCAGTGGAGGGGGCGAGAGCAAACAATTCATTGCGAGGTACTGCTTCTCCGTGGCATCAGGGTCCCTCGAGCAGACATTGAAGGTGGCAGACAAGGAGGCGGGAATGCCATTGAAGAGAGAAAAAATTTTCTGATTGCTGCAGAAGTCGCGTTGGTCCAGGTCATCGGTATCGCGCACCATCCCTCTCGCAACGTAATAGCCGGTTTCGCTGGTGATGGCTCCATGGTCTTTATGAAAGCATGAAGTCTCGGCGAAATGGAACCGAAAAGATGCACCGGCACGGCAATAGGTTCTGCATTGAGAGAGACTCCTCCACACACACATGGGCAAGCCAAGAATAGACAGAGGAACGACCTGTGTCAGGTCGGATTCAAGGGAGGGGCCAGACATTTCTCGCAGCATCTATGTCAACAAGGACGCTGCTCGATACGGTCTTGACGCATTTCATTTGGCAGACATCGTGGTGCAAGGATCCTGCAGACACTGCCGTAGGTCTCTCCCCTGGTGCACAGAGCACCCCAGCTGCAGAGAGCACGCCAGATCATAGCGCATGGCATCCCAAGCCGCTAGCAGCCGCTAGAATTCGTGTCGTTCCCAAGGCGACGATTGCTACGAGGCGAATTTTGTTGCAGAGCTTCAGCGGGGAACTCCTGAGTGATGCAGGTGCCCCAGGAGACACCACCTTCGCTGAAAGGACGGGAGCAACGGCAAAGCAGTGGCTGGGATGCGCTTACAGTCGTGTGTCGCGCGAATCCTGTCTGCAATTTTATGGCCTTGTGGCACAGGTATGTCTCGCAGCCGCAGTTCTCGAGGAGGTGACTTCTGTTGTTCTTATCCGCTCTTCGACCAGCTCTGACAACTCTTCACATCCGCTGCTGTTTCAGCTCATGCCTGCGTTTTTGAGAACATTTCTTCTCTTCACAAACAAGTCTTTTTTTGGACGCAGTCCAGCAAACTGTCTGCTGGGTCGAAAGAGCAGTGAATGTCGGTCATCATGATGGTGTGATGGCGTTGGCAAACAGCAACCCTCGACATGATTGGCTGGCGTCACTTTTGCTTGCTGCCTGGCGTTGCCTTCCTGGCAAGCCCACGTCTGCAGGCTCCCAGTTTGCAGGTGTAAGGCCAAGCTTGACACACGCACACGCACATTTTCGTAAAGGATGTCTGCGGTCATGGTTGACAACATGAAGCAGGATAATGATGATGAAACCGACGATGAGATGAATATTTAGTGCCAAGTTTGCCAAACAGAAATTAGAAAGACTTGGCATACACAACAAAAAACAGAATGAGATGACCCGTGAGGATGTGGGTCCTGCCCTCTGAAGCACGAAATGAGATGACAGTGAAACTGAAGATGGGTGCCGGCTGTCCCTCAGGACCCAGGCACAGGCGATGCAGTTACGTTTTCGTGGGGTGTAGGGGAGAGTTTCGTTGGACGGAGCTCCCCTACACCCCCTCTGTGCCCCTGCATGAGCAAAGAAAACGAAAAAGAGAGGGGGAGTGACCTCCTTAGCCCATGAGCGAGGACAGTTCACACAGACACAGACAAACGAGCACACACACACACACACACCCACAAACAGAGACAGGCAGAGACGGACACAGACAGAGACCGTGACAGACATGCCAATGCCAACACACATACAACATGCTCGCTCAGGCAGGTCCGCATTCCTGCCGCTCTGCAGCAGCAGTTTCCGCAGCTGGTTTGAGGCGCTTGGCATGTGGGTTCATGATTTGGTGGCGTTGCCTTGTTGTGGTGGCATTGCCGTGTTGCCTGGAGAAGGCGTGACGCCTCCTGCTCGCCGGCGAAATTCCTCATGCACGTTGGGATTCTCCAGGCGCGCCGAGGTATGCCGATACCTGCAGGAAAACGGACAATTTCAGAAATTTCAGACGAACATGCAGGAGCTTCGTGCAGATGCCGCCGCTCCGGTAGACCGGAAAGGGGCCGGGGCCGTGGCACTTTCCGGACACCAGGGTCAGCATCAGGAGCTCATCCGACTGCTTCTTGCTAGTGCTGCAAGAAAGTTTAGAGGTCTTCCTTACGGGGTTGTGTCATCTGCGAGGACCGTAGCTTTGAGGTCCTTGTGGCGGTGATGCTCTCGGCACAGACCAAGGTGCACCGACTGTGTGCAGTTTAAGCAGCACTGTCCATGAAGCAACAGGATGGCGTCACCTACAAGACAATGCAAGATCTCCGGGCACATGGTCTGAGTGCACAGAAAATCGTGGATATGCCCATTGAGCGGCTCACCAAGCTTGTCGGAAAGGTGGAGGGGGCAAGCTGGAAGCGGCTAGCACGGCAATATTCTGGTCTTTGAATGACGACTGGCCCCTAGCAGGTCAACTACCACCGCCGCAAGGCTGCGTACATCAAGAAGACTTCGCAGCTGTTGCTCGAGAAGTATTCTGGCAGTGTCCCAGATCAACTCTGGCAGCTATTGGAGCTTCCAGGTGCTGAAGTTTAGAAACTCTCCACAGACTTAACAGGGTCGACGAGTAGTAGACAAGTGGACGGCAGATTCAACCAATCTAATAAAAGCTAGTCGAGTTATGCTGGCAGGTGTTGGCGAGAAAACTGCCTTGTTGTACTTGCAAGTGGCCAAGGGCAAGGTGGTAAGGGAGCTTGAAATGTAAATGCGTGCATTATCTTTTTATTCCTTCATCCTGCCAGGTGGAGGGCATTGCAGTTGATACCCATGTGCACAGAATTGCTAATGCTTTGGGCTGGACCGGCTCGCCGACGAAGACTGCACAGCAAACACGGCGCCAGCTGGAGAAACGAATTCCTCGACGAATGTGGGGGATGATAAATCCGCTGGTGGTTGGAGCTCTGGACTCATGAGTGCTCGCTGCATATTTTTCGAGCTTGCTTTGTTTGGTAGACCGTGTTGATGTTCGTGTGAGAAAGGTGTACGATTCGTGTTACATGTGTGAGGATTTGGCCAAGAGCTTCGGGAGAACAGGTCTGGACTTCTGCGAAAGTGCCTTGAATCCAGCAACCCACGTCTAGCCTTGCAGCTGCTGGCCGACTGTGGGATGAAGGTGCAGAGGGAGTGTCTTCGATGATCAGTAGCTGTGTTCTTCACCATCGCCCAGAAGTGACCCTTCTATAGCATATGTGCAGGTCTAAATGCATTGATGTAAGCCTCGCTTATGACGGACATGATCCAAGGATGGAGAAAGCTGGCTTGGAAACTCAGGACTACGCAGGATGAAACTGCCGCGTGTAGAGAAAAGCCAGCATCAGCAGCAGAAACGCGCGCTGTGGGCTTTGAAGAAGATCTTCTTCGGCGAGTTTCGTTTCGCCTTGGCCCTGTATGGATTCGAGCCTCGCAGAGACATCCCAAGTGTGCACCGGCAACAGCAAGCTGCCAAAAGGGCATGAGCTGGAAGCACCTTCTCGCCTCTTGAGCAGACCAGGGCGAGATCTCCCATGCAGCGCAGCAGAGCAAGCTGTCCTGGACCAGAAGAAGCAAAGTCGGAGAAAAGGCAGTGGGACCTTCTGCACGGCACTTTTTTGATTCTGTGATGGTGCCAGCAGACAACGAAGCATCTCCAGGTTCGGAACTTGACAGATCCGCATCACCCGTGTCAGTGCCCCAGTCCTGCACCCCCACGCTTGGGAGAGCGGGGGTTGTACTTAGGCCCTAGGCGAGAGACGCAAGCTAGAAAATTGCCCGCGAAATCTTTCAGAGGCGTTCCTATCAGCATCTGCCAGTCCTAGTGGGACAAATGACAAGGGTGGCGTAGACATGCTTTTGGTGGCGCCGCCATGTCGTCTCGGAGCGAACTGAAGTCGTTTCATGCAAGCAGATTCCGGGGAGAGAGACTGGGCGATGCTTTGGTCTACTGTACCCGTCTGTGTGCAGCTTTGCTCAGGTCTGTGGGCTCCTCTGTGCTGGAGGCCCGACGTCCTAGCTCGACTCGGCATGGAGACTCGCTTTTGGGCAGGACGCCGAGGGTTCGCCGAGCAAATCTGCTCCACCTGGCGCTGCAGAGGTTGGCGAAGTCATGTGCGCAGTCGAACGGTGCTGCCAAATCTGAAAATGTGCCGAGGCTATGCAGGGAGCACATAGGTGGGCAGAGTTGCCTGCCCTGCTCCGCGCACCGAGCTTTGAGACATTTTGCGACAGACGTTGTTGCAGGACGATGAAGAGCTCTGGCCAAGCCAGCTGGCTGAGATGTGTGTTTTGCTCTGTGGTTGTCTGATCGGTGTCCCTCGCGTTTTCATTCAAGCTCACCCAGCGCAGCAAAAGTAGTATCCGCGAGCAGCCCTCGCTTCGAAAACATGGGCGAGTCTCTGCGATTCGCTTTCGTTATGCCGCCGCTCGGTGCCGTCTCTTTCTAACTTGACGTTGCGACGTTTTCATATTCTACGTTTGCGGGCTTCAGTGCCGTTCCGAGTTCCCAACCGAGGATGGCAACCGGACATTTGAACCCTTCCCTGCCCCTGGCCCGCTCCTTGATCCAGCTCGGGCACGAAGTTCACTACTTGTCTCGGGCGGGGTCCTGAGTCCCGAGAGTCGAGGACGGGATTCTTGTCTCTCGCGGGAAGTGCTCGTTTCAGGAGGCAGTTCGAGCTGCAATTGAGAAAACGGGTGCAAGCTTCACCGATGCTGCTGAGGTGGCCAGGCACTGTTTCCGAGTTAGCAAGCCCGCTGTCTGACCTCAAGCGGTTGGGTTCGTGTCGCTCGCTCCGAGAAATGCCAGGAGCAAGTGGAGCTTTATGAGAATCGCGAGCAGGAGCACCGAAACCCAATCCGAAGTGAAGGACATAGCCACAGCCCTTGCAGGACATTATGGGCGCATTCCGCACAGTGGCAAGGGAGCATGGCATGGAAGACGTTGCTCATCTTGGGTTGGACGATGTAAGGGTGTAAGATGAAGACAGGCAGTCAAAAATCACCGGTGCTGATGAGGCACCCATGATGGTTGGCATCACCACCATCTCTCCCATTCATCTGGAACTTCAGCTGCCTGGGACCATCCGCTGGCTGCAGCGATTGCAGCCACACGTGGTGCTGTTCTGTCCGATGATGACCCACAAACGAAATTTGAAGAAGGTTCAGGCGTAGGATGTTTGATTGCTCCTTTTCCCGTGCTCAACTTTCCACACCGGAGTGTCGGTAGCCGAGGAATGCGGAGGCTGTTTATGCCGCCAAGACCCTCCAGATACCTTCAGTAGGCCTGTGGACTTTTGCGGGTCCCGGTGGCATGATCGGCGTCTTGGACATGTTCGTGAAACAATCCGGAATTCCCATGGAAGAGGTTATGGCGCGAGTCGAGGCATTTCAGCCGATGAAGGACTGCATGGCGAGGCTGAAGGAAAACTACAATATCACGTACGACTTCAGGAAGTCCATGTCGCCAATGGGCTTCCTAAGCACGATGTGCGAAGCAAACGTCAATTTGATCACCACAGCCGAAGAGTTCCAAGATCCGTTTCCCAGCGAGTTGTCTCGGGCTTATATGGAGGCCGGGGCGAAGTTTGAGTATGTCGGTCCTTTGTTGGAAGATGATGTTCCGGAGCTCGAGCTTGAGGCCCAGAAGGCCATGAAGGCCGTGGCTGAGGCCCGTTCTGTGGGCCGCAAGGTGGTGCTCGCCAGCATGGGCACCATCTTAGTTTCGGACACGGATGCTGTGGGTTGGCGTGACGTGCCACGGGACGGCTCAGAGCAACCCCGTGGGCTGACCGGCAAGCAACTGTGTCAGGCAGCTTGGAGTGGAGTCTTCGATGCCTTCGGTGCTGCCGATGATTCTTCTCAGGCCCCGCTGCTGATAGTCGCCGTTGGTCGGCAGCCAGATGCGCTGACCGACGTAGACATCCCCAGAAACGCTCTCTGCTTGCCGGTTCTTCCTCAAGTTCCACTGTTGAAATCAGGCGTGAACTTGTTCTTGACCCACGGCGGCCAGAACAGCTTCATGGAGTCCCTGTCTGCTGGGGTGCCAGTGGTGGTTTGCCCTGGCTTCGGGGATCAAGCGGTTAACGCAATGAAGGCTGAGGCGATGGGAGTAGGCCTTCAGGTGCAGAGGCCAGTTCCAGAACATGGAGAGGAAATGACTGCCATCGCCAGCTACCGTGCGGAAGTTTGTGCTGCTTTGGTCAGGGCTTTGCAGGAACCTCAGTTTGCCGAGAAAGCGCAGCACTGCAAGGAGTGTCTGCGAAACGCCGGCGGGATTTGCAAAGCCAGAGAGCTTCTGTTCGGGCTCGTCGGCCAGTCCTTCCCCAAGCTCCTCGGACACGCCCCTCCGGTTTTACCTACAAGCACAAAGGAGCCAGATGCGCCCTGCACGAAGTCACTTCCAGCTGAGAACTCTGCACCTTAGTGGGTTTTGTGCCTTTGTGCTGGGTGGTTTTCACAATTTTCAATTTCGCGATGCTTGAAACAGAATTAATCGACATGCACAGTCAGTCGACCCTGGCTGGAAAGTCAGGAGTGCTTGCGGGACCTCCGTCTGTTGGATAGAGGTTGCAGGATGCGTAGGAACTTGGAGATGTTTAGGTGCATGGCCGCCCTCGCCACAAGCTTTGGGCTTCGCGTTGCAGAAAATAGCCCAGCTCAGAAATGCAGCAAAGCTTGCATCTGATGCAGCCCCGTGAACTGGTGGCAAAAGGAACGCATCAAGGACGGACTTGACTGCATTCTGACAATCATTCTGCTATACTCTAGTCGCTCTAGTCTTTGCTCTGCACTCTGCAATCGTGTCCTCTTTCTTTCAGTCTCCGGAAGCTTCTGAGGCGACGAAGCGCGGAAAAAAGAAGGCCGTGGCCTGAACTCGAAGCATTGGGAAAAGTTGCCTTACGGGCTTTTGGGGGTTCCAGGTGCGGAGACGAGTGGCCAAAGTGCCCTCGGTGCCTTCCGCGCCGCCTGCGCCGCCCGCGCCGCCTTCGCCGTCGCCGGCGCCCGCGCCGCCGCCGGCGCCCGCGCCGCCGCCTGCGCTGCCCGCACCGCCCGGCCGGCCTCGCGGCCCCGGCACTGCGCGGACGCCGTCG